AACAACAACAACAACAACAACAAAGGAGGAACACAGGGAAAACAAAACATGAGATATACAGAAAACAAAATATTAAATAGCAGAGGTAAATCTAACAACATCAATAATAATATTAAGTGTGAACATAAATCAAACAATTTAATCAAAAGGCAGAGACAGACTGAGTGTGATAAAATGATCCATCTATATGCTATCTACTGAATACACTTTAGGTTTAAAAATATAATAGATTGGCCGAGGCAGGTGGACTACCTGTGGCCAGGAGTTTGAGATCAGCCTGGCCAACATGGCAAAATCCCATCTCTACTAAAAATACAAAAAATTAGTCAGGTGCGGTGGCAGGCACCTGTAATCCCAGCTACTCTGGTGGCTCAGGCAGGAGAATGGCTTGAACCCAGGAGGTGGAGACTGCAGTGAGCCAAGATCGTGCCACTGCACTCCAACCTGGGCAACAAGGGTGAAACTCTGCCTCAAAAAATACATATGTATAAAATAATATATATATAACATTGTATATATATTTTGAGATTGAAGGCAAAAAGACTGAAATAATATATTATGCAAACAGCAACCATAACAGAACTTGAATGACTGTAAAATATAAGACAACACAGACATTAAAACAAAAAATACTGCCAGAGGCAAAGAGAGAAATTTTATAATTATAAAAGAATTATAAACATATACACACCCACCTAACAATGGAGCCCTAAAATATATAAGGCAAAAACTGATGGATGTGGAGTGAGAAATACACAATTCAATAATAATAGTTCCACTTTCAATAATGGATAGAACAAGTGGCAGAAGATAGATAAGGAAACACGAAATCTGAATAACACTATAAATCAAGAAGACTACTGACATCTATAGAACACTCCACACAAAAACAGTTTAACTCACAGTGTTTTCAAGTGCACACGGAAGATTATTCAGGATAGACAAAGTGTTGGGCCATGACACAAACCTCGATAGATTATTTATTTATTTAGTTGGTTTTCTTTTTTATTATATTTTAAGTTCTGGGGTACATGTGCAGATCGTGCAGGATTGTTACATAGGTATACACATGCCATGGTGGTTTGCTGCATCCATCCCCCCATCAGCTACATTAGGTATTTCTCCTAATGTTATATCCCTCCCCAATCCCCCCACCCCAGATTTTTTAAAGGTTTAAATTGTATAAAGTATGTTCTCTACCCACAATGAAAATAAATTAGAGATTAGTAACAGAAGGAAATTTAGGAAATTCAAAACCGTGTGAAAATTAAATATGATTATTTATTGATTACTTCTGAATAATCAATAGGGCAAAGAAGAAATCACAAGGGAAATTAGAAAATGTCTGGAGATAAATGTAAGAGAAAACACAATATATTAAAATTTGTGGTATGCAGCTAAAGCAATAAAGGAAATTTAAAAAATTTATTTAGTAGAGGAAAATTTACAGCTACAGGCATTTAGATTTAAGTAAAAAAAAAACTTAAATACCATAACATTTCATTTTAAGAAACTGTAAAAGAGAAGAGAAAATTAAATCCAAAGCGAGCAGAATGAAGGAACTAATAAAGATCACAATGGAAATAAATGAAATAGAATAGAACAACAGCAGAGAAAAGCAAAAAAATCAAAAGTTGGTTCTTACAAAATATCAACGAAATTGGCATAATTGTAGCTTGGCCCCATTGTCTTCAGAGAAATTAAATGATCACAGCATAGTTATAACTATTCTTAAAATGAGCATTTTACTTCTACTTTAATAAGCCATAGCGTTAATTTTTTGGCATTAATTTTTAAGGAGTCACATTTGTACTGGCTTTTATTAATTTGTCATCTATTCAAATATCTAGATCATTTTTCCCTTTGAATGTTAACCTCTGTTACTTACTTGAGGATGAGCTATCTAAGCAAAAGTAAGTTTAAATATTGTATCTTTATTTAAAGCAAAAAAGAATCATATTTATGTATATTTATAGGTGAGTGTATATATATGCATACAAATACACATTGTGTGTATATACAATTATATATGTATTTCTGCTGTTAGCTATAATTATTAGTCATCTTAGTCCTCCAAAAGCTCCTTATCTCATAGGCATGGGGAATCTTTCCTCAGGTTCCCCTAACCAGCCTCTTGTACTCTCCACTTTTGCAAATGCAACTGGGACCCAGTGCCCCCTTTCTTCTCAGTTGGCCTCAAAATCCCTGGATTATATCTGAAAATGTTAAACAAAATGCTTCCAATCTGGAGAGAGCATGTACTGATTTTGAGAGGGACACATTAATTTCATGGTATAATTTATTTAGTTATTTAATTTATACAGAAGAGTACATACAGATTCGGTAATAATAGACCAAGCCATTACACCATAAGAAAATTCACTCAAGGAAATGATGAGTAGACTATTAAAAAAGTAGGGCTATGAAGAAAATGTCAATCCATATTAAAACAGCACATTACAGTCGGACTTTCCTCTCAGCATGTCTGAGTTTCAGCATTATATCATTTTAACGATGATATCATTTCAGGAAATAATATTTCACATGCTGTGCTTACAAGTATCAATCTGGATAAACCTCCCTTACTCAACAAATGCTGTGGTACTGAGCCAAGAAATATAGACAAGCACAGTAAAGAGATAATACTAATATGTAAGAATTTTGCTCAAAATCATTGGCCTTTCTACTGTGAGAGATTTTATTTTATAAGGCTGCATGCTTTACAAAAGAGCAAACCAAGATTCACTCACTTGTTTCTGAAGTAACCACCATAGCTAGCACACAAAGGTACATAATTCACTTCAGTAACAGACTAGAAAAGACCATTTATAGTAATGCATAAAACCAAAGTAATGCTACAAAACCAGAAAATAGATAAGTGTGTTAGAGGAGCCATCCTATGATCCTAGGGAATCAAAGCAAGCAGCGTAATAAAAATGCACAAACTCTACCAGGGGGAAAAAAAAAAAAAAAAAAACAGCTGGGCACAGTGGCTCATACCTGTAATCCCAGCACTTTGGGAAGCTGAGGTAGGAGGATTGCTTGAACCTAGGAGTTTGAGACCAGCCTGGGCAACATAGCAAGACCCCATCTGTACAAAAATTTTTAAAAATTAGCTGAGTGTAATGGCATGCACCTATGGTCCCAGCTACTGAGGAGGCTGAGGAGGGAAGACAGCTTGAGCCCCGGAGGTCAAGGCTACAGTGAGCCATGATCGCACCACTGCACTCCAGCCTGGGTGACACAGTGAGACTCTGTCTCAGAAAAATAATTAAAAAGAACATTGAAATGCATTTGAAAGGAACCAGTATAAAATAATTTGATAGAGCAGTATAATAATCATATATTTAAATTAGGTTCACAAAACTCAGAAGAACAATTTGTTAGTCTTCAGAATTGGGTCACAAACTCATACTTATTACACAAGAAATGCAACTTTGAGCATAGCCTTTAGGGAGCTAAGGAGACTCCATTAAAGACCATAGCAAGGATTTATAAGAAAATAGGAAGACAGGAAAGAGAAAAGTAAAAGATTCTTATGATAGCGTTATTGTAAAATATTAATATATTTCAAGTACCTAAATTCATCATTTCAAATAATTTTTGAAGAAATAACTGTTTAGGAATCATAACTGACTTCAAACTCAGTAGCTTCCACTCATATTCCTTTTTTCTTCTTTTACTATTCCAGGGTGAATCACTTATAATCACTGTAGCCAATATTTGTAGAGTGTCAGCTGGAAATTTTCTTTATGTCATTAACACTTTCAGTTGATTCCAATCTAAGTTTTTAGTAGCTGATATTATTATCAGAACATATTTAATTAATTCATTATGCCCACTGGTTGCTAAACTGTAATGGGGAGAGGAACTCTAACAGCAATATACTAAAGATCAAAAAGATAATACCTGCTTCTTTTGAAACTAGAGCTTATGAACTTCAGAATGGATCCTCATGTCAATTTCCTTCTCCTACTTCCAACAGAAAGTTGTGTGTTGTCTCAGATAAACCAAAGAAAAGACAGAGTTCTGGTGGTGCTTGGAATTTCAAAATAGGATTTATATACAACAAATTTTAAATTTAAATTACTCAGAGGGTTAACAATTCTTTTTTCACAAACACCCTTACTTTAGCAGGAGTAGTTGTTTTATATTAAACATGATATTTGAAAGCTGAGAACTCTTTTTCAGGAGATTTCCTTGTCATCCAAGGAAGAATATGTTTGGTATAGTTTCATATATTATGTTTACATTAGGCAATTTCTACCATAGCAACAAGGCTATTAAATATTTATATCAAGCAATTGGAATCTCATTTAATACAACAAATGTTCTTGAATATTACCAAAACAAAAATCTTTTCTTTGAAATTTTAACATAGAATGTAGGTGTTTTCTCCTTCCTTTAGATAATGATGGTCCTGTTATACTTACCATATAATTGTCCCTTTAAATGTTCTGTAATTAATGGTACAAGGCAAGTATAGCATACGTTTAGTCAAACATGGAAATATTGTATTACATACTTCATTCCTGCTTCTCTCATGCTCCCTTCTCACATACTGCCCTCTACATATAACATGTGTTAAGTGCATATTACAGTAACACTCAGCTCTTTGTCAGCTCTTCTAGGTGAATAAAGTTAACGTGATGACCTCGTGCTAATAAGGTCATTGAGTCACCTAACAAAGATAAATTTTTCATGTTCATCAACATCTTATACAGCAAGGACAATTTTTTTGCATATTATTCTTTAAAATACTTATAAAAGAGTATTTTATTTTAAATTATTAATTTTTAACCAATCCTTAATGTCTTAAACTAGATGAATGAAACTGAAGGCTTTAAAGAATCAAACTAAAGTGAATATATAGCATGAAATTATAGCAAAATATCAGTGTGCTAGTGATAACAAAACCTAAATCAGAGCACTTTCCTATATCACTATAGTCATACTGAATAGTGACTACATAAAATGAGAAACTGTCTACATCATATGAATACTATTAATGACAAGCCTTTTTTTATTAAAATGGCAAGAATACAAATAGCTTATATCAGTAAAATACAGTAGTATTCAGGCTTTAATATGAACATTGCATCAAAGCCTATGGATAGGTAAGGTAAAAGATTTAGGAAATTGGGGGAGGAAAGAAACATCACTTGTCTTGTTACTCCAGATTACAGACAGCTGCCACAGACAATAAAATAAAATGGCAATTAAGTTGATTGCAGTACTTTAAGGAAAACTTATTAAAAATACAGATTAAAAAAAAATCTTACATTCTTGACAGGTATATCATCACCTACCTTTCTAAAAACAGTAGTAGTAAACACAATTGTAGAAAATGTATGTTACTTAGTCTTTGAGTGGTACAATGCTACAGATTTTAAAACCCTGACAGCACTCCTACTTTCTGCTGCTTCAATATCAGATTATGGCATGGAACTTATGTAAGGTTGGTTCCAAATGGAATATCAGATCCCAGGCCAGTATCAATAAATTGTACCCATTTTGGCACAAATTTTCTAGCCATGAATGCACAAATCACAAAGAAAAATATTAACCAACCAATTATTTGAGATACCAAGAAAGGAAAGGAAATCAGTTTTGTAAAAACACTTTGCCCTGTTTTAATAAGCTTCTTTATTTACTCCGGATAGTGAACATAACAGTGTTCAATAGTGAAGTAAGCAAATTTTACACTCACTATTACTGCATGGATAGAAAGAGCCATATGCATTTTTGTTTTTATAAGTTATCTCAGATCACTGCAACATGGCACATCAGAACAGAGATTAGACACACAATGTTAATAAATACATTTAACATCGCCAAGCATTTAAAAGATAAATGCAATCATGTAGCAAAAAAAAATCAGTTTGTAACTTTGACCTTTCTCAGAGATGTGAAGAATCATTTCAGCTGTCAGAAATCTCTGTAGCAAAGATTCCTATAAGAGAACAAATTATGCTGATTAACATTTTCAATTCAACTTTTTCAACATGTGTAACAAACGTATTCTCATAAGTCTATCACTTTTGCTAAATGTAAGAGTCTTCTTCAGTTTCTATGAAGGAAAACAAAAAACAATGTATTTTTTTCACTCAGTTTTCACAAACTGTGCTATATTCATACTATAGAATACTATTCAACAATTAAAAGGGATGAACTATTGATACTTACAGCAGCTTAGACGGATCTCATGGGCATTATGCTGAATGAGAAAAGTCAATCACAAAAAGTTACCTCAAAATGACAGAATCATAGAGATGGAGAAGAAAGTAGTATTTCCCAGGAGACAGGGAGATGAAGAAGTGTGGGCCTACAACCATAAATAGGCATAATAAGGGAGCGAATTCTTTGGTGCTGATGGAACAATTTTGCATCTTTATCACACTGGTGCTGTGTGTGGAGCGTAAAAAAAAAAGTACACATACAAACACTGTGTACAGTGCATCTAAAAACTAGTGAAATCTGAATAAGGCCTATAGGCTAGTTAATCACATTGTGCCAATGTCAATATCCCAGTTTGCAAGATATTTCATTATAGAAATTGGGGTAAGGATATGTAGAACTGTCTGTACTATTTTTTGTAACTACTTATAAGACTACAGTCGTTTTATTTTTTATTTTTAAATTATTATTATTATTTGAGACAGAGTCACTCTGTCACCCAGGCTGGAGTTCAATGGTGCAATCTCAGCTTGATGCCTCTTCTGCCTCCCAGGTTCAAGTAAATCTCATGCCTCACGCTCCTGAGTAGTTGGGATTACAGGTATATGCCACCACACCCAGGTAATTTCTGCATTTTTAGTACAGATGGGGTTTTATCATGTTGGCCAGGCTGGTCTCAAACTCCTGGCCTCAAATGATCCACCTGCCTCAGCCTCCCAAAGTGCTGGGATTACAACCAGGAGCCACTGCATCCGGCCATGACATACTCATTTTTTAAAAGTACCTTCATACATCTACATTATGGAATACCACTCAGCAGTTAAAAGGAATATGTGACAACTACTAATACATGCAACAACCTGGATAAATCTGAAATAATATATTGTGCTGGGTAAAGTCAACCACTAGAGGCTGCATACTGCATGATTCTATTTATATGACAACTTGGGAAAGGCAAAACTAGAGGGATGGGGAACAGAGCGGTGGTTAGAGGAAAGTAAATTCAGTGTGATATCTGTTGTCTAGATAATAAGTGGCAGTCAAAGGGCACCATTTGAAACTGACAGTAAAAGGTTAAGTAAGAAGAAAGGTGATTAAGAGCACTGTTAAAAGTATTAATAGAAAGATAACAACTAAAATAAAATAAAATCTTCCTAAATGCCAAAAGAAATTGGTTAAGAAACAAAGAAGACTGACCAAATGAAGAAATAGAACAAATATCACATAGTACAGACAGTAATTATAACTGGGTTGAGACCATTACTATTGATGTGACATAACAGTCATATCAATAACGTAAAAGATTTTAACTCATCTATTTTATTTATACTATTCTATTCTATTTTTGAGACAGGGTCTCACCCTGTTGCCCAGGTTAGAGTGCAGTGGCACAATCATGGCTCACTGCAGCCACGACCTTCCAGGCTCAGGTGATCCCGTCACCTCAGCCTACCAAGTAGTTGAAAATACAGGCACATGCCACCACATCTGGCCAATTTTTTTTTTTTTTGTATTTTTTTGTAGAGATGGGTTTTCACCATTACCCAGGCTGGTCTCTAATTCCTGGGCTCAAGCGATCTGTCTGCCTCAGCTTCCTAAAGTGCTAGGATTACAGGAGTTAGCAACCATGCCCAGTTTAACTCACCTATTTTTTAAAAAGATTTTCAAAATGGCTGGGTGCGGTGGCTCATGCCTATAATCCTAGCACTTTGGGAGGCTGATACAGGTGGATCACCTGAGGTCAGGAGTTCGAGACCAGCCTGACCAACATGGTAAAACCCCATCTCTACTAAAAATAGAAAAACTAGGCTGGGCATGGTGGCTCACGCCTGTAATCCCAGTACTTTGGGAGGCCCAGGCAGGTGGATCACCTGAGGTCTGGAGTTCAAGACCACTCTGCCCAACATGGCGAAACTCTGTCTCTACTAAAAATACAAAAATTAGCTGGGTATGGTGATGGGCATCTCTAATCCCAGCTACCTGGTAGTCTGAGGCAGGAGAATCACATGAACTTGGGAGATAGAGGTTGCAGTGAGCCAAGATCACACCATTGCACTCCAGTCTGGGCAACAAGAGTGAAACTCTGACTCAAAAAAAAAAAAAAAAAAATCACAATGACTCATGAAGCAAAACTCAAATCCACACTGTATATAAGAGATATACTTAAAATGTAGTTACTCAAAAAAGGCTAAAAATAAAAATATTTACGAGGTAAATAGAAACAATAAGAAAATAGAATTTGCAACTCTAATACAAAAGTAGAGTCAAGCAAAGAAAAACATCTAAATGCATCTGAAAAGGATATGTTATAAAAGCCACATTCCATGATGAAGAGTGACAGTTCAGAATATCAACGCAACAAATAAAACAGCAAACCACCTATATAAAGCAAAATTTAGAGGAATGCAAAAATAAATGAAAACATACTAATAACAGGAGACTTTAGAACACTACTGTTAATATAAAACAGGTCAGATACCTTCTTCATGAACTAGGAAAAACCACCTTAAACTTCATATGGAACCAAAAAAGAGACCGCATAGCCAAGACAATTCTAAGCAAAAAGAACAAAGCTGGAAGCATCATGCTACCTGACTTCAAACTATACTACAAGGCTACAGTAATCAAAACAGCATGGTACTGGTACCAAAATAGATATATAGACCAATGGAACAGAACAGAGGCCTCAGAAGTAATGCGATACATCTACAACCATCTGATCTCTGACAAACCTGACAAAAACAGGCAATGGGGAAAGGATTCCTCTTTAATAAATGGTGTTGGGAAAACTGGCTAGCCATGTGCAGAAAGCTGAAACTGGACCCCTTCTTTACACCTTATATAAAAATTAACTCCAGATGGATTAAAGATTTAAACATAAGACCTAACCCCATAAAAACCCTAGAAGAAAACCTAGGCAATACCATTCAGGACATAGGCATTGGCAAGGACCAAAAGCAATGGCAATAAAAGCCAAAATTGACAAATGGGATCTAATTAAACTAAAGAGCTTCTGCACAGCAAAAGAAACAATCATCAGAGTGAACTGGCAACCAATAGAATGGGAAAAAATTTTTATAAGCTACCCATCTGACAAAGGGCTAATATCCAGAATTTACAAAGAACTAAAACAGATTTACAAGAAAAAAAAACCCCATCCAAAAGTGGGTGAAGGATATGAACAGACACTTTGCAAAAGAAGGCATTTATGCAGTCAACAAACATATGAAAAAATGCTCATCATCACTGGTTATTAGAGAAATACAAATCAAAACCCCATTGAGATACCAGCTCATGTCAGTTAGAATGGCAATCAAAAAATCTGGAGACAACAGATGCTGGAGAGGATGTGGAGAAATAGGAACACTTTTACACTGTTGGTGGGAGTGTAAATTAGCTCAACCATTGTGGAAGACAGTGTGGCAAATCCTCAGGGATCTAGAAATAGAAATACCATTTGACCCAGTGATTTCATTACTGGGTATATATCCAAAGGATTATAAATCATTCTATTATAAAGACACATGCACATGTATGTTTACATGTGGCACTGTTTACAATAGCAAAGATTTGGAACCAAGCCAAATGCCCATCAATGATAGACTAGATAAAGAAAATATGGCACATATACACCATGGAATACTATGCAACCATAAAAAAGGATGAGTTCATGTCCTTTGCAGGGACATGGATGAAGCTGGAAACCAACATTCTCAGTAAACTAAGAAGAGAAAACCAAACACATGTTCTCAGTCATAAGTGGATGTTGAACAATGAGAACACATGGACACCAGGAGGGGAACATCACACACTAGGGTTTGTTGGGGGGTAAGGGGTCAGGGGAGGGATAGCAGGTAGTGAGGAGACTGGGGAAGGATAACAATAGGAGAAATATCTAATGTTGACGACAGGAGGATGGAGGCAGCAAACCACAATGGCATGTGTATACCTGTGCAACAATCCTGCACGATCTGCACATGTACCCCAGAATTTAAAAGTATAATAATAAAAAAATCAGATAAACAAATATTAAACAATGATACAAAAGTTCTACAAAAAATGAAAAAGTGGAGGTATTTACACCACAAAAATTGGCAAGTGCTACAGACCAGGGCTTCCCCCTCCTCTCCTTTGGGAAGCCAGTTTACCAGCACGCCACTGAGCTAGCCTTACAGAATTAAAAATACCACAAAGCCTCTATAATTAAATAGTGTGGGACTGCACATGAACAGACAGATCAATGGAATAGAAATAGAAAGTCCAAAAAGAGATCTGAATGACTGGGACAAACAGTCTTTTAAATCAATGATCTTAGAACAACTTGATAGTCAGTTGGAATAAGATAAAATTAGATCAATTTCTCAAACCATATATAAAATAACTTCAAATGAATCAGATATCTAAATGTTAAAAATAAAACTATACAAGTACTAAAAGATACCATTTCTCTACTAGCTGGGTAGAGAGAAAGATTTGCTAACTATGAATAGAAATCCAGATGCATTAAAGGAAAAGGTTTAAAGTCTGACTACACAAAAAGAAAAACTCTTCATACAGTAAAAATAAAAGACAAATGTCAAAAAAAGTGAGAAAATATTTGTAGCATATATCACCAATGAAGAGCTAATTTCTCAAATTTACTAAAAGTTTTTTTTAACAAAAAGATCAAAGCCCATTAGAAAATAGGCAGAAGAAATGAATAAATATTTCGGAAAGAGAGATATAATAATAGCCCTTAAGCCTATGAAAAGATATTCAACTTTACTCATAATATGA